TAGTTTTCAAAAGCTTCAAATCAGTATTTTTTTTAAACTTTATAATTCTAGAAAGCTCACTTGATATATATAAGATAAAATTAAATGTAGATCAGTTTTGATAGCACCTATTCTATCAAGAAACACTATCTATATTCTATTCACCAAGAAACACCAACTAGAAGTGATACCAAACAAAACTGAGCTAATTTGGAAATTTTACATGCATGCAAAAAGTTCCAAAAATTACTAAGAAACATCTCTTTAATATGTCAAAGACTTAGAATGGCTATAGAAAACAAAGTGTTTCACGGCATCTCTGATACAAATCTGGTACCCAAATCAAGAATTAAAACTGTAGAAGAATCTTAAGACATCCCCCTTACTATAACGATACCCTAAAAGCAATTCCAACTTCTAGAACACACTTATCTTCAAACTTTATCATTAAATTCTTCAAAATTCTACTAAATGTACACATTTCTAACATCTAAAATTTAGAGCAATACCGATTTAAATGTAATTAATATCTCAAACAGATTCTCTTTTAAAATCATCTTAAAATTGTTTTCCAAATAAATATTACTAAAAACAGATTGCATTCACTTTTAAATTAACAGCTTTAACACAGTGGCTATGTCCTCTGTTAAAGAAATAAAACACAAAAGTAATAATTGACTCTTGGGAAAGAATAGGAATTGACACATGCTGCAGATTTTCTATTCTTTAACTCTTTCTTTGTTATTTTAAATTTAAAATTAAATGTGAATGTGCTAAAAAGAGAAACTAATTTTTATATTATCACCTTAAATATTTTTAAAAGTTTTAGTATTTTTTTTAACAAAAAGAAAATCTATCCACTAAATGTAGCTTTTGCATTTTAAACCAGGTAAGCATATGTCATGCAGCCCACTTCCACTCAACTCCAGTGAGTGAGTGAATGAGTGAAGAGGAGCACAAGGAGAAACAATTTGAAAAAATTATTCTTATGTAGGTGGTTCGTTAGTGGACTCCAAGTATTATAGCATTAGTATTTCAAGAGTTTATTATCAAAGCTTCTTTGAATATTTTTAAATAAATTGGTAAAGAAAAAAGGTGTTTCATTTCTGTACATTCAACAACATGATACAACAGCCTGCACTAAAGATGTCTTTTTCAAAGCTTTTACAATCAACAGCACAACTTAACATTATTCTATGCCTACAATGCACAAAATGATTACCAAATTCCAGCTTTTAACACTAAAAAGAAACCAACAACAGGAATATAAAACAGTAGCCAATAAAATCTAAGCACAGAACTTCACATTAAATCCTGCGTCCTTGAGTCAGATAATCTCCAAAAGCCAACCATATTTAAGTTCTTAACCACCTTCAGCAAAACATTATTCAAATCTGTAACTATCCAAAAACAGATAATTTCAAAATCCAGGTGCTTATAGACCATTAATTTTATTGGGTTGGCAACTAAGTAATTGCGGATTTCATTCATAGATGGCTTCAGTTGAATTTTTAGGTGGTTTGCAGAAGTAGTACAAATGTAAAACACATTTTGTTATTTGATAGTTGGCAATTCAGCTGTCAATCAGTAAAAAAAGTTTTTTGATCGGTTGCGTAGTTTTCATTTGGCGTTTGTTGAAAAATGGAAAATCAAATGGAACATTTTCGTCATATTTTGCTTTTTTATTTCCGCAAAGGAAAAAATGCATCACAAGCTCATAAAAAGTTACGTGCTGTTTATGGTGAAGAAGCCTTAAAAGAACGGCAGTGTCAAAATTGGTTTGCCAAATTTTGTTCTGGTGATTTTTCACTCAAAGATGAAAAATGCTCTGGTCGTCCAGTTGAAGTTGATGACGACCTAATCAAAGCAATAATCGATTCGGATTGTCACAGTACAACACGTGAGATTGCAGAGAAGCTTCATGTATCACATACATGCATTGAAAATCACTTAAAACAACTTGGCTATGTTCAAAAACTCGATGCATGAGTTCCTCACAAACTGAAAGAAAGGCATTTAACGCAACACATTAACAGCTGCGATTTGCTAAAGAAACACAATGAAAATGATCCATTTTTAAAACGACTGATAACTGGCAATGAAAAATGGGTTGTTTACAACAATATCAAGCAGAAAAGATCGTGGAGCAGGCCAGGTGAACCAACTCAAACATCAAAAGCTGATATTCATCAAAAGAAGGTTTTGTTATCAGTTTGGTGGGATTACAAAGGAATTGTCTACTTTGAACTCTTACCACCCAACCGAACGATCAATTCTGATGTCTACATTGAACAACTAACGAAATTAAACAATGCAGTTGAAGAAAAGCGGCTCGAATTGACAAATCGAAAAGGTGTATTCCATCATGACAATGCAAGGCCACACACATCTTTGGTCACTCTGCAAAAATTATTGGAGCTTGGTTGGGATGTTTTGCCACATCCACCATATAGTCCTGACCTTGCACCATCTGATTACTTTTTGTTTCGATCTTTACAAAACTCCTTGAATGGTAAAAATTTCAATAATGATGATGTCAAATCGTACCCGATTCAGTTTTTTGCTAATAAAAACCAGAAGTTTTATGAACGTGAGATTGTGATGCTGCCTGAAAGATGGCAAAAGGTCATTGATCAAAATGGGCAATACATTACAGAATAAAGTTATTTAGTTCCATGAAAAAATTGTCTTTGATTTTCTAAAAAAAATCCGCAATTACTTAGTTGCCAACCCAATAACTTGTATTTATTAATGATCAAACACACTATTGTTTTACACATTCATTAATTTTGTCAGCGATTAGTCTTCCATTGGAGACAAGAATGTATATTAATGAAAGCATCTATTTTTGATTATTAATTTTATTTATTAAGATGAAATCTTATTGCTAACAGCATGCTTTTGAATTTTATCAGTTAAGTGTTGATTTCCTTCTTTCTCCTACTTAAAAAATCATTTTTAAATTCCCTAAAATTCAAAACACTTTAAAGATTTATATCAGTGTGAGAGTGATATTTCAGCTCGTACTATAAATGCATGACAACTTACCTGGTCAGTGTACCAATAATAGTTTTTGGGATCAATACCAGCAATCTTATATCCTTCCATTATTTCTTCATATTTCCAAAGCCTCATAGAGCCTCCAATAATTTCACCAACACCTGGCATAAGCACATCAACCTACAATTACATTCACAAATTAAAGATTTTGTTGTATCAAAAATTTTAAAGTTGACTCATAGCATAATTAGAAATATTTTGTTTGAAAATTAATTTTTTTCACATACATTTAAAATGCCTAAAAGTAGTGCAACACATAGATCAAGCAGAATATTTTTTTCTCGTTAATTTCTAAATATAACAGAATGAAAAAATTAGGAAAACTAAAAAAATTCACTTAATGTACATGTACCCCAGAAACTGGATGCATATTTTAATGATTCATTTAAAGTATAAAATACGTTACATATAGTGATTGTCAAAGGAAAAAATAAATATAAAAAATACAAATTAGATTCAACATCAACACAGAAGCACGTTGAACTTGCAACCCAAAGTGAATATTTTGAGATACCCCAATTGAGTAAATATTCTAATAAACTCACAGCGAACTTTTTAAAAATTGTCAATGTAATACATGAACAACAACAATTACCAATGATTAATCCATATTTGCAAAATTCAATGAAGTCAGTATGAATAAATTTATAAATAAATACCAGATATCAATTTTTTTTTAAATTTAGAAGTAGTGTGGAAAGGAGAAGCTGTGTGTGTTAACACTCTTGGAAGGAAATACATCCCTTAAACACACACTCAGAATAATCAGTATCCAATTAAGTACCCTTTTGTTCGAAAGCAATGCAAACAAGAATAGTAAAACAGTAAAAAGTGAGATACTACTTAAATGAGGGGAAAATACAAATTACACCATTGTTCTTATTCTTCTTAAATATACTATTCATATTTTTTTTTTAAAAAAAAGCTAAAAATTTTAGGCTTTACTTAAAATTAAATCTTAAGCACTGTAAAATATAGAGTATAATGAGCTTCGGTGTATAACACACATCTTTTTTTTACAAAGGAACCTAAATTGTAGAAGTGCAAGTGCTCTTATATTTTGAAGTCATTTATTTGAGGTATTATCTCAGACTCTTAAAAAAATTGTGTATTCTAGAACAACAAACCTATAAGTTCATTAGGTGTGTCATTTCTTTTAAATAAACAGTATTCCAATCAAAATATGAAGAAATCTAATTTTTTTATGCTTATCCTTTCTTTTTTGAAGCCATCATTTTTATACCCAGCCTATAACGAGCACCCAAGAATTTTGATCTTATTTTTGAGTTAAACATGCACGTTATGCCGGATTTAATGGTATTTGGTTTGTACTCCCTTTTGGAATCTTTATACTTGCACCAAGCTTGTATATTTTCTTTAAGAAATAAATCACATTACAACTTATTCTATTGTTGATTACTAAATTTACAGAATATACTTGTAAAGAGCATAAACAATAAGGAAAATCACATTTAACTTTAATTAATTCAATATATATAAATTTTTGCAACATATTTCTCATTTTATACTTCACCACAATACACAAATCAAATCACTTAAAAATCTGGAATTTATTACACATCAAAATATAAGATAATTTAGAATAAGAGGTTTAACAGATGTAAAATTATTTAGACATTTTTTTCAAAAATACGAATTAGTAAATTTATTATAAACAAGTAATATAAAAAAAATTAAGTCAATTCCTACTCACGTCAGCACAGAAAATTTATATATATATATAATAGTTACATTTTATTAAAAAATTACAATTAATACAAATATGTATATACATATGACAGAATCACACTATTAAAGGGCAAAACAGAGAAAGCAATTTTCCATTCTATATATGATGTTGGACTATTTTTTTTGTTTGTTACTATTTATTCATTAATTAGATTGAATTACTCTAATAAAATAGTATAGCTAAAAAGAAATCACATTCTCAGAAATTAGGCCAACCAAGGTGGGACTTGAACCCATGACCTTTGGATTAGGAGTCCAACGTGCTATCCATTGCACTACAGGGTCACAATGAATGAGTTTCCTTTTTATATATGATCTTGGACTATTATTTTTGTTAGTTACTATTTATTCATCTTTTACTTTAATTAATGAATTAACATTTGAAAAAACTGTATTAAAGTGTCATCCACTACAAGTTTTAAAAATGTATTTGAACTTGAATGGATAAATAGAAAGTATTTTATTAACGATTCAAAATTTGAACAAGATTATATATATATATTTATAAACTCTAATGAGAGAATATGGATCATTTGGATTGACATGGCATTAGAGGAATTATGAGAAATATAGGAGAGGTGATTGTTGTAGAAAATATGAGAAAACGTTCAGAAATTGTGAATTTAAGTATTGATAGGATGCTCTTGTGGGTGAGTTTTTGATGACTTAGGCTATTCTCTCATTTGTGTATATACTGGATTTTTAATTTGAACTTTTGGATTTTAGATATTTTTTCTTCCTATACAACTATTTTAAAGATGGGTGCATCATCTTTGGTTGTTTGATGTTTTTTTTTTATATTATGCACTTGTTTTAGAATTTTAACGTTATAATATCTTTCAGAATGCGATGTCGAATAGTTTAATATTTTAAGTATTAACTTTTTAAATTTTTGAGAATTGGATATTTCCTGATTATAGCTTACCAATTTGCAATAGGAGGAAGGTTGGTGCCATCAAACTAGTTTAACCCTACTTATCGGTCCTAAGTCTGAGGTTGCACTTGGATATTTTATAAATTTTTCATTTTGTTTGAAAACGTTAGAATTTTATTTTCTATATTCACCATTGACATTTTGAAATGGGATTTAGTATTATATGATTCATATAATTTCAATTTTTTTTAATTGTGAAATTATGATTGATTTATATATATTTAAATATATATATATATATATATATATATATATATATATATATATATATATATATTATATATAGGAGAGAGTGAACTAATAGTAGGAATTGCAAAAATACTCCTCACACTCTTCTAATTTTTTAACAATACCAGATACAAAACAAAATTTGAGTGTTTTTAAAATAATTTTTTATACTATTTTACTTATTTACAATCTTATTTTAAAAAATAGCATAAGAAAATTATTGGTAGTAAATTGGGTAAATTTGAATCAATTAATTAGGGGAAGGATGTTTAAAGACTTTTCAAACAAAATATTAAGTTACAAAAAAGAAATACTTACAGATTCTGTAAGTCTCGGATCTTCAGGGCACTTACTCATGTAAAAAGATTTTATTTCAGCAGGAAATCTGCATAACATAATAGGCTAAAAAAATTAATATGAATGTTTATATTCATATTTAAATTTATTTTTCACAATACTTAGAAAAAATTATGGATAAAAAAGTTTTTAAAATGAAAGAGTTTCCTGACCTCATTTATTTTGTCTGTCATTTTCCTTTCTGGCATTTCTGGAATATCTTCACCAAATTCATAAAAGGAACCATCTTCTTTTGTAATGTTGTTCTCTCGCAAGTAAACAATAGCATCTGCGTAGTTCATTCGTCGGAAAGGCTTCTTTGGTGGTTTAAAATCCTAGAGATTTTTTTTTTAATTAAATGCTTTGACCCATAAACACTATATTCGAAAATTTGTTTTAGAAATATATGCATTTTATAAATATATAATAATTTCAATCTAACTTACAGGGTTAAATTCATGTACTAAATAACCAACAGGCGATTTTAATATCCTTTCAACAACATCACAGATAAGATCTTCAAGTCGATCAAGTAAATCATTAAAAGTGATGAAAGGGCATTCAGCTTCCACATGAGTGTACCTATTAAAAATATTTGAGGATAAGCATTCATTTAAAAAATATTTTACAAAAAATACTTAAACATTGAAAATACAGAATCTTACTGATACCAATATTTAGAACATATTTTCTCACTCACCCCTCCAATTTTACTTTCAATAAATATTTATATTTTGTCTTGTATTTATAAGTAAATTCCAGTAAAGAAAAGTTTTAAGTAAGTTAAACTTTTATATAATCAGTTTTTTAAAAACCTTAATAAAATACCCTTACATACTATAGAATCAGAATCAATATCTAATAAAAATGAACTAATTTAGCTGTACAAGAGAAAAACTATTTTATGTTGACAATTCAAAACCATTTGTAAACCATGGAAAAAAAATAGGAAAATATAATTATTTTCACCTTAAAATTTTATTTGTTTTTAAATGAATGTAACAGACAGTAGCGCACACAGGAATTTTTCAAGGGGGGTTGAAAGTTCACCCTTCTTGTATCATGCTCCTTTTGATTTTGTCAATTTTCAGGAACAAAACACAGTAAAAAACTAATTATTGAATAAAATTAAACATTAATAACTAATACTTAATTAAATTTTACGTACTACATACTTAGAATTATTATCAATTGGAAAAAAAAATCAAGGGCTTTGGGGGAAGGGGTCAGGACCCCCAGAACCCTCCCTTGTGTGTGCCACTGAACAGAGACAAAGCATCAAAATGAAAACATCTAACCCTACACATGGTTTCAGTGCATCCATTTGATATTTTAACTTGCATTTTAATAGTTTGGTCATAATGAAAGAATAAAGTGAAAAAAAAAATCTAAAATATTACCATTACGAGATTCACAGTCATTACAGTAAACCAAATTATTTAAATGTTATTTAATACATAATTGTTAATTTAATACATTTTAGTGTTCCTTTTTATTAAGACTTAGTCCTTTAAATATAAAAATCATGCAATTCAAATACAAATTAAAAGCTCCTTCCCCCCTTCTTTTTACTATTTTAAAGTCTATTTAGTCTCAAAAAGCCTACAACCTAGTTGTTTTATTATTTTCCAAATGTCAAACATAATTTTTTGGTACATGTTTGAAAATGTTACAATCATTATTAACCCTTGCTCATATTGTGTGTGTGTCCAGCTCTCTCAATTTAATACATAAAAATCTTTTTATCCATTGATAAAGAGTCAATAAGTTCAACATGGATTATTTGAGATTATTTTAGCACAAATTAACTTATTTCTTTGATAAAAAAAGATCAACAATTACAATTGCAGTTAAACTGCAAGAAAAGATCTTTAAAAAGAGAATAATTACAACATTTAATCTGTTACTAATTTATGAAATTCTTATTCTGAAATATATATATATATATATATATATATATGTAAGGATAATTAAATTAGATTAAAAATTAAATTCCTTATCTAGCACTTGACTCATCTTTCTCCGTTCCCATGTTCAAGTATCAAACTAATCACCCATTTATTTCTTCCGAACATATGGCCTAGCCAATAAACATGTCTAATTCCAGATCGTTAGATTTAATAGTCAACATATGTCAGCATTAACTTGCAAGCAACCTCTTCAAAGCAGCAATACTTACCATGTTTTTCAAGCGTTATGCACTTGAAACCACCACCATGGCGTGCTTTTTACTCCCTGCTCTTAGCATCAGAACAGATGTACAAACGATTGAATAAAGATCTCCTTTTTTAAACTTTAATCTGATTCTGTCTTAAAAATCATGACAGAATTAAAGCCGGCAGGATCTTATTTGCCATTAACTTTCAAATCTTAACGTAAAAAACTAATATTTTTTATAAAATAATTTTAATATAAAAACTAAAGCCAACGACCATAATAATTGATATGGAGAATTTGACGGAACACCAAATGCACCATATGCCAAAATGCTGAAGACGACGGATTTCCGGAATAAAAAAATGGTACAGAAAAAGAAAAAAAAACGCGCTAGTGAGAGAGTAATCCCCGAAAGAACATCGCTCTTAACACCGACAAGAGAATGCAGTGTCTACTGCCGAACGTTATTTCTACCGTTGCTGAAGACACCAGCAAGTTTGCCATAAATGAACCAACTTTCGAATGGCGGAAAAAAAGGAAGCGTGAATTCCCTAACTCCATGATGAAAGGTATCCATCCCTTCCGTCAGAATAATAATAATAATAATAAATATGTTCTTCTCCGAATGGTATTGGGATTTAGCTCCAGTGATACAATGATGGAAGGACCAACACTACCAGAAAAAAATCTTCGCGGAAAGTCTGCACATTAATACTGTGAAATAGTGAAGTATCAACATGGGAAAAATTAATGAATAAATAAAATTTTACTCGTGAAATAAAGTGACAACAGCATCTGGATGACCGTTCACCAAGTGTTTCTGATGCTGCAAAGTGGAAGTCAGTTAAATTGTATATTTCAATTTTAGTAACATTGAAAAACCGAGTTTTGCTGAACAGAACTTTTTACGAAAAAAGAATAATATATGATATGATATTTAATTTTTTATAATATAGTTGTGTTATAAATGAGATATTTTCTTTATATTTTAATTGAGAAAACAAAGTATAGGTTTAGTCATACAAAATTTTGAGAAATTTTTAATACACTTCTCATAATTTTTATCTTAAGATGTCGAATGAGTTAAGAGTTATGATAGAAATTGGTGTTTTAAAGTGAAAAGATATAAATTAAGTTTTTAGAAAAATGACTAATGAGAGAACTAATATTAGAGATATTGATTTTTATAAGAAACAAAAGTAAAGTCAAGTTGTATTATTTTCTCCATTGAATTCAATTGTTTTGTTAATTATTTTATTCAACAGTAATCTTATTGCATGTCATTTAATTTTTTTCATTTTGAAATTGTGTGTTTTGATATACCGGCCATATATCAGGATTCACTCTATTTCTTAAAATTTTCCTTATCTAAAATTAAAATTAACTTAATAACTTGAAGTCTAATTTTTGGATATTATACAGTGGATAAGGGAGAATACAATCATTATAATTTTGTATATGTCTCGAAACATTAAGAGGACAAACTTGTTTAGTTTGATATGTACACCTCTCATTGTTTCTTATCAGCATCCCTGAACATCTGTGAGTTGTGATCACGCAGATTTCTCAGAGAGATGTGTTCAAAATTAAGTAAGGTGATACATTTTATACTAGTGAATGTGTGATGTAA